CTGGTCTCTACGAAATACAGAGTGCGATGCCTAAATTGTCGCAAACTATATTTTAATTTCGCGCATGCGCGTTGGTTAATTTTGATTTTGTTGACTGCGCAATATAATACGGACAGTTGTTTATCGACTGTGATGAAACGAGGACCATGACGTAATTCATACCGCCAGAAATTTGGAAACTGCATGCTGTACTGCTTGGCATTCGCACCGGGAGCTTCAATACGACTATATACTGAGTGTTTGGGTATAGATCTGAGGACAGTTCTGAGCTTTAAAAAAAAAAAAACTTGGATGAGTGTAAGATGATTACAAAGGTACGGCAGCTCAGAAACTCACTCTGATTGTTGTGATAAGAAAGCAACTCCCGAATTTGTTAGTGAGGGACTAAACACGGAGGCCTAAATTAAGTGCGTTGAGAAGATGGTGGGTCCCTGCGTCAAGAGGGTGGCTGCTGGAAGACCCTATGTCCTGCAAGATACGGCACCATGCACACAAGCAGGAGAACATAGTTATAGCTGTCAGAGAATTTCTGCGACCACATCTCTCTTTACACCTGGCCATATATCTCCTCAGATTGCTCCCCGATTGATTATTATGTGTAGGCCGCAGTTTAGCGAGAAACCAACAAAACCGCTTGTAACACCAAAAATGAACTGAAGGCAATGATCATGGCAGCATCCACCAACTTAAACAAGGAGACAGTCCAAAAGTGTTGCAGGAGATTCCGAAATCGTTTGGAGACTGTGGTTGAAGCCAATGACGATTTAATTTAATAAATTTAATCTTTCGTCTTTGAAGATATTTTTGAGTCATGTCGAGTTGTCAGTGTTATTTTCATGGTTTTATAATTTCGACGACAATTTATCCATCGCACACTTTTATATTCTAACTCGTGTCCCAGAACGTTGCAAATAGATTTTAATATTAACATTCACGAATATTGATAATGACTTATCATTCTGTCGAGTACCCCCTATCGACTTTTTGATTCTAACGATTACTTGGACTGAATGTCACTAAATAGGATAAGTAACAGCGCTTACGTATGGTTTGTACACAGACTGGAATCTCGTTTAGGCTTCGCTGCGTTTTTACCGTTTGAAATGAAAAACATTGGAATAAAAGGGTTATTATTAATAATAATAATGTTCACAAGAGATCTGCCATATTAAAATCATGCATAACCTTCGTAACATAATGGGCTGTCAAGTACAAGAACATCGAAAAAAACTTTCTACTTCACTGCAGAAGCAAAAGAGATAAGATACAGTGTTACCCGGATATAAGAGATCCGGATATAAGAGAAACCCGGATATAAGAGAGAATTTCTCTGGTCCCAAATTAGAGCCTGTGTTAATGTATATAAAATAGACCAAACCCGGATATAAGAGAAACCCGGATATAAGAGAAACCCGGATATAAGAGAGAATTTCTCTGGTCCCAAATTAGAGCCTGTGTTAATGTATATAAAATAGACAAACCCGGATATAAGAGAAACCCGGATATAAGAGAGAATTTCTCTGGTCCCAAATTAGAGCCTGTGTTAATGTATATAAAATAGACCAAACCCGGATATAAGAGAAACCCGGATATAAGAGAGAATTTCTCTGGTCCCAAATTAGAGCCTGTGTTAATGTATATAAAATAGACCAAACCCGGGTATAAGAGAAACCCGGATATAAGAGAGAATTTCTCAGGTCCCAAATTAGAGCCTGTGTTAATGTATATAAAATAGACCAAACCCGGGTATAAGAGAAACCCGGATATAAGAGAGAATTTCTCTGGTCCCAAATTAGAGCCTGTGTTAATGTATATAAAATAGACCAAACCCGGGTATAAGAGAAACCCGGATATAAGAGAGAATTTCTCTGGTCCCAAATTAGAGCCTGTGTTAATGTATATAAAATAGACCAAACCCGGATATAAGAGAAACCCGGATATAAGAGAGAATTTCTCATGTCCCAAATTAGAGCCTGTGTTAATGTATATAAAATAGACCAAACCCGGATATAAGAGAAACCCGGATAAAAGAGAGAATTTCTCTGGTCCCAAATTATAGCCTGTGTTAATGTATATAAAATAGACCAAACCCGGACATAAGAGAAACCCGGATATAAGAGACTTCTTCTCCGGTCCCGACAACTCTCTTATATCCGGGTTACACTGTATTTATTATTTAATTTAATTTATTTTATTGCATTTTCATAATTTTTTTTATTTTTTATAACATTTAATCCGCTTCATAACCCACTATATTTCTGTTAAATTGATCCTGAGTATTGCTTAATATACTCTACTGAGAGCGATGATTATTTATAATTATTATTGCCCGCCCTCCTTTTTTTCTTCAATGCATCGTGTTCATTCAAAATGCTGATGATCATAGCTCTCCACAATATCCCGTTTTTTGTTGCTCTTAATAATTTTTTGTCTTTTTGGTGTCTCTCCTCCACCCAGCTACGCAACACATTAACTCAAGCTCGCTTGGTAAATTATGCGTTCTTTTTCTTCTTTTATCTCTGTTGCTTTTTATTTGTCCTACGCGTATCAGATTTTCCAAGCCCTCTTTCCTCATTATATGCCCTTGAAATTTCAACAGTATATTCTTGATGTTAAATATATGTGTCATTTTTTGACCATCGTACGTTCGGTTCCCGGTATTCTCAATTTTTTTTCTGCTGCTTCAAGTTCCATCATCAGTGAGGAGAATGTCCAACATTCACAGCCGGTTTCTTTGTTTTCTAACGATATTTTCTGTGTCTTAATACTTTGCTTCACTTTTTGGAGGCATTTTTCGCCATTCGAATACAGCTTTGGATTTAAGTGTCACACATTCTGACATCTTTTAAAACATTTCGTTGATATTTAAATTGTTCTACTTGTTCAATTTTGATATGTCCAATTAGTAGTAATTTTCCATGTTGGGTTGTTCCGTTAGCTAATAACCATGTATACTACCTTCTTGCAATTGATGTTTAGTTCTTCCTTCTCACTTTAATTCATTACCTTCTGGAAAAGGTCTTCTAGTTTCTGTGATCTCGGCGCCTGATAAAGATTTTCATAGCCTCAGCTTGCTCTTATGTCCGTTGTTTATGTTAGGATAGGAAACACAGAAGACATATGTATTTTAAGGGTCAGAGAAAAATTTATGTATCTGCTTTTAAAAGCACTATTCATCATTGTTTGGCCATCGACGCACTCCGTAGATGAGATGTCCAAAGCTGATCGGATCTAATGATGTTTTCTCAAGGAGATCACAGGTTCGAAGATTGCCGGATATCTAAAAGATGCAGTCCGCTAGTGTAAAATAAATAAATATACTGTTTAATAAATAAACAGCTTGTATGCTCAAATACAGCTATTCGTTAAAAATAAAATTTATTTAATATATATATATATATATATATATATATATATATATATATATATATTGTAAAAATATTTATATTTTGTAAAAAAAAAATAAATATATTTTTGTAAAAAACTAAATATATTTTTGTAAATATAAATATATTTTGGTAAATATAAATATATTTTTGGTAAATATGAATATATTTTTGTAAAAGATAAATATATTTTGGTGAAAATAAAAAATAAAAATATATATATATATATATATATATATATATATATATATATATATATATATTGTAAAAATAAAATAAAATATCAATAAGAACACTGGATTATATATCTTACTGTTCTTTCTTTTATTTATATAAATACACACACACACACACACACATACACACACACACACACACACACACACACACACACACACATATATATATATATATATATATATATATATATATATATATATATATCCATCTATAAAAGGCAGGATGCGTGTGTGTGTAACGAATGCACTGCCGCAATTTTCGACGTATTTGCACCAAAATTTATATGCACATGCTCCAAGTTAAAGGGAAGGTCAAGACCGACTTTGCATTTAACTCCCACCGATAGTGGAAATAATAGTTTTTTCATGCTTCTACGTCAGTTCTCATGTAGTTTGCGGCCATTTTTTACTGGCCAGAGTGAGCGGGAATATGCAGGAAGATTCTATTGGCAGCGTGAGAGCTAACAGCTGACTGACACGAATGTTAACTAACATGCTAGCATACAAAATCGATAGCTGCATTCGTCACAAGTGGGAAAAATTTAAATCTGTATGGCACTTTATTCCAATTGGCTCATTTGCTTGCTTAAACTCAACGATGATTCTGATTCCGCAGAACTGGGTTGGGTGTGAAAAAGTATTTGTTGTTAACATTCTTTTTTCATTCGGTTTTTCCAGTTACGAGTCCCTTTTTAAATCTGATCGTTTTGTGTTCATTTTGTTTAGTTCTTTTTTCGTAACACATTTAATGCTTAGTATAGAGCTTAGAAAAAATTCGCAGTGTGAGATAGGCAAGAAGTAAGGCATGTAGCCACATCAGCACGGCAAGGAAGGGCAAAAATATTTTAAGTCAAATAATAGCGATTACTGTATGAGTCGTACGATTTTTGAATCAAGCACGGGCAACGACGGGCCATGCTTATATATATATATATATATATATATATATATATATATATATATATATATATATATCAGTTTTTTTCAATCTATATATATATAATTTATCAATTTATATCTATATATATATATTCTATACAATATATATATATAGATATATTCTATAAAAAATATATATATATATATTCTATACAATATGGGTATATTTTATAAAATATATATTCTATACAATATATATATATGTGTGTGTATGTGTGTGTGTGTGTGTGTGTGTGTGTGTGTGTGTGTGTGTGTGTGTGTGTGAAGAAAAACTTGGAATAACAATTTTATAGTCTGAGAAAACATTTCATCTTTAACTTTCGACCTATGTTGTTAATATTTAATTCAAGATTAAGTTTATCGACGTAGAATGAGATGGTATTGTAAATTTAATATTTTTATCTAAAATCCTTTTCATCATTTGGATGCAATCTTATTAATGCATCTGTATAGATAGATAGATAGATAGATAGATAGATAGAAACAGATTTAGATAGATAGATAGATAGATAGATAGATAGATAGATAGAGTAGAGTAGAGTAAGGTTAAGGAAAATAACCTGAGAGGGTTATTCTCTTTGCTGAATGGCAGTAATTTACGAATTTTTGGAAAAAAAAAAAAAGAAAATGAAGCGATAGAACATAAGGTTTTTATAGAAGGGAGAAAAATAAAACTTTGTGTATGAAGACATCAGATAGTGATGTCAAAGAAAGAGCGATAAAGAAGAAGGTGAAAGAGATAGAGGAGAAGAAAAAGAGGGGAAATTTGAATTGAAATTGTTGACAGAATTGTAAAGAAATTCAGGAAGAATGAAAAAGATACAAAGAAAAATGAACCGATGAAGAAAAGAAGTAAAAAAATAAAGAGAGAAAATAAAGAGAGAGAGAGAAAAAGAGGGGGGGAATAATTACAAAAGAAGAAAAAAGGGAAGAAAGTTAAGAAATAATAAGGAAGAATTAAAACAATGAATGAAGACGTAAAGGTAGGAATGAAAGAAGGTATATATCAAAAAAGAAAAAAAAAACTGAGTTCAAAATTAAAATGAAAGAAATGATGAATGAAGTGTGTAAAAAAAGAAAAAAAAAAGAAATTAGATTAGGAAAGAAAGAAAGGAAATGCTGAATGTGAAGGAAAGGATTAAAACGAAGAACGGAATATGAATGCGTAAAGAAACAAAGAAACAAAATGAAATGAAGAAGAAATGAATTGAAATGAAGAAAGAAGAAATTAAATAACTCAAAGATGGAGAGAATGAAGAAAGAAATAGAACAAGAAAGGAAAAACTGTAAAAATATATGCGAGAATAAAAAAAACATTAATGGAAGAATTAAACGAGGCAAAAGGAGAAAGGATGTCACCTTAAACTGATTTTATAACGCATTGCCTTGACCTGAAGAATTTTTCGAGTGTGCAATTGACGTTTTCTAAAAGGTTAATTACACGTTTAGTTTCAATGGAGACGGAATCAAGCTAAACCATCTCCATGTCCCCTGTCATTTCCACCATCTTTTCTGCGTTCAAAAAAATATCTGCCTCTTTCTTGCGGGGCACATCCGAACTGAACAGGCTGAAACTGTTCCAAGACACGCATGAACTTTGCAAACGATAACATTTTCCTTCTGGATGATTGCAATTTTGAGCCACGCAACTTCCAGTTCGTTTGAGGACGAATATTCCGCGTATTTCCGCTGAGTGCTTGTCTTTTCTTATTGATTGTCATCGGATGTGCGGCTAATGTAAATCGGACCGGAACGATAAATCGGCGAAAGGATTTCGAATCCAGGTCGTGTTCATTAGCCTCACTTTCGCATAATCCACACTTGCGAAGGGTACGAATCCATATCTTCTTTCACTAGTTGTGGGTTAAACGGCAGAGCACGATGGATTCTGTCATACCTGAACGTACCTATTCTATTATTAATAGACTCTCCCACACTACCATAATAAGTAGTAGTAGTAGTCGTAGCGGTCGCCAGTTGGGCTCAGAGGTGTTGAGTGAGTCAGTCGATGTCGGACAAATTGCTGCGTCATTAACTATTATTTCAAGTTCCTAACGTTTTGTACGTCGAACCTAATTTAGGACGACTTATTGAAATACAAGCCTCCAGTGTGAAAACTACTCTATAACACATTGGCGACGAGGGATTCGTTTCTCATACGGGAAAAGAAAATTTTTCGTTCACTCTATAACAGATTCCCTAGCCGTTCTCTAGAAGGACAGCTCTGAATTCAAAACACAACCACCTGAAGCTGTACAAAGATGATAAGACAGCGGGTAGAGTTATTATGGCTGTAAAACAGAAGCTTGTTATGAGAGCGATTATCAAGCATAATGTCGACACCAACGGGACTAGGGGCCTAAGACATTTGGATGGTGGGGGGTGGAGAATGCATGGTTAAATGGATGGATTAATGTTTGTCATTAAAAGTATTCATTTCTTTATCTATTAAGGACTACCATGATCCTTCTCTTGATAATTTAGGGATTGTAGGAGTTGAAGATAGTCCTAGGTATGACGATAAACGACATCCAGAAGCAAGGGAGATTGGAGATTTTGAGGACCGTCGAACCACCTCTTAATTGCTACTGTTCCCAGATCCACCCTACCCCGGTGTGGTAACACCTGTTAGGGCCCCAGTTATGAGTAGATAGTTAACCAAACAAACAAAAAAAAGGCTATTAATTTTTTTAAATTCATTTTTATAGTAAAAAACAGAACAGCAATACATTTTTCTAATAAAAATACCAACAATATATTTTTATATAAGAAAATTTCCAAAAATAACTGTTTATAGTAAAATGATCGACAATACAGGGTGTTTCAAAAAAATTGATATCCTTTGAGATGTAAATATCACAGAAAGTACATGATTAAGGCAAATGAAATTAAAAAGTATTAATGTTGAAGATCATAAGATATATTCTTCCAAAACTGAATGAGAAATTCAAAAGCATGTGAATTATGTGAACGATTTCACAAATGTGAAGTTTGTGGCCGTCCGGATCCTTTTGCTCTGCACAGACAGCCTTCCTCTTTGAACTTTTTATGCCATCTCCAAATCTTTCTAGAGAACTCTCTCATAAATGCACGCTGCACAGTCTTGTTTGACTGTGTTCTAGCAAACTCCAAAACACAAAACGCCTTTTCTCTTCTAGTAAATAGCATTTTTATACCTGTAAAGAAAAAAATTAAAGAACATAAAAATACAAATAAGAAAGACACAAAAACATAAAGACATAAAAACATAAAACAAACATTAAACATAAAGATGCTATTAAAATTTGAAGTCATTTGAAGGAGATCTAACAAAGTTATTAGATTGCGAAATGATATCAAATTTTTTGAAACACCCTGTACATTTTAGCGCAAAATGAGCAGCAATAAATTGTATCCGTAGTTGAAGGCATACAATTGTGTTCGAAATATTTGGATTTCAGCATTAAATAACTCGTCGTTGTTGATATGTAGGGAGCAGTGAAAAATACATTTTTTGAGATGCAAGCTGCGTTTTTTTGGCATTGTTTTCATGATTGTAACAAACAGCTGTGATAAATTTCATGTCCACTTTGCTAGCAGCATCGTGATCGACTTTTTGTTAACTTTTATTGTACAACAAAAATTAACTGTCCTTTATTACTTACCAGGATAATAATAAAGGGTTCATCGGTGGCATCATTTTGATTCCAAGATTATTTAAGAGTTATATCATATTAAAATATTATAAGTTAATAGTGATTTTTTTTTATTTGTGCGGAGCGTGGGCATCATTTTTCTAGACAATAAACTTTGCCTAATATATCCATCTCTCGCTGGATATCCCGTTACTTCAGTGCAAGCTTCAGTCCTCCCTTTTATCCCTCTTTCGACAGCCTGAGTCCTGTTTGGCCACTTGTGCATTAATAATGGTATCTCAAGAACGTCATTAATCTGTTGATCTGATAGAGAAGCAATGTAAGTAGACTCAGTTTTGAGTTCATTCATCCAGTTAATCATGATAGTTTTTTGCATGCTTCTTTAGTTTGAAGTTACCAATTTTATCATGTTGATTCCATGAGTTATATTCTCATTCATTCATATATATATATATATATATATATATATATATATATATATATATATATATAAAAAGAAAACAGATCACTTTAATTTTTCATTATAATAATTTATTTCACCAGAGCCCTTTCAAAGGACGCTGGATCATCAGATAGCGCTTATAAAAACGTTGCTTCCAATTTCCCGCCGATATTCCTATATATGTAACTTTTTTCTGTTTAATATCTTCCTTGGGAAAATTGTAGCTTCGTATATCACGTTTTCTGCCATGCATATTCCCTCTACTGAACAGATAGATGTTTTTAGATTACAGTTTACATGATAGATGGATTTACATTGAGCTCTCAGGATTTCATCCTCCTTGGGACTACCCATACGGATTACCAAGTTTTTTCATAACTTAATTATATATATATATATATATATATATATATATATATATATATATATATATATATATATATATATACGGGTATGGTTGTCCTATAATACAAATACAAATGACATATACATATGTATATACAATCAAAGACTACTTAAGTACATGTGAAAAAATATCAATCTTTTCTGGAACCTGTTCTTTTATCGTCCTTCCCTTTACTAATTCTTCTCATTCTCTTCCATTCCTCAGTAGCCCTTTATATTTTAGTGTCATTATCGCCCTTATCGAAAAAAAAACGTTAGCGTTTCATCGTCAATATCTGATGAAAAGCTTTTGAATTTTACGTACCAACGGCGTTTGTCCATATCGAAACTGTGCAAACCAATTGTGCACTTGCTACCGGCCACTTATGACTCCTTGGCCATAAACACGGCCTATTTTACCAGATGTTATTCCCTTATTTGTCCTCCCACAACCCTACATGACGTAAATGCCCTTTCAATTAGTCGATTTAAGGAATGCATTCTTTAATCTATTGTAGGCTGCCATCTTCACTGGCATCCTCATCAGTGTAGCTTAACAAATCCTCGTCAACAGCAGTAGCAGAATCCTGTTCCACCTCATCAGATCTCTCAGTGCATTCTTCCATCTGCTAATTCTCCTCTTTAAATTTTCTTATCATTGAGGCAGCTTATCTCTAACAGTCACATCCACATCTGCACACATACTAAGAAATTGATCTGCGTGGGCGAAGTATGCATTTCTCTGGACAGTCTTCACTAACGTCTTCTTCTTACTATTCAGGTTTTTACCTATATAGCAGGAATTGGAATACGGTTCTTGAGTCATGTGTTACGTAATGGGACATCTTGATACAGAACTATATTGGAGCACTGAATTTAATTGTAATGGCGATTCTTTTCAGCTCTTGGCTGGGTTTTGATGTTGCTACGTACAGCCTAAGGAGTCTACTCCATAAAGTATTCCGCCGTAACACACGGAGAGGAACTAGCTCAATAGCAGCCAAGTCATCATCAACAACACCTATAATAACTTCTTTACTTTTACCTATACTGGTGTTTTTGATCACAGGACAATTTTTTATTCATTCGGGACAGAGATATCAGTGACTTACTGGAAGGCAACAACTGGTTGCTCATTTATTTGCTTTCCAGTTGTTCTCATATTTCTGAAAAATCATGGGTAGCTATCTTGCTAATCATTGAGACGTCTGCAAACTTCCTTGCATTACATTTCTATCGCCAGCGGTATTTTAATATCTCGCCTTTCGAGTGAAGTTTGACCACTGGAAAAATACTTCCATACAATGCATGATCTGTGAATCCCCTCATTAATATCTTAGTCACGTCAATAGTAGATTAATCAGCTAACTTGTTAAGAAAAGAGAAAGAGTTTGTAGATGAACAAAACTGAATATAAACATTATACATTTGTACAATACATTGCACTGAACCTACATAAATAAATTTTAAAATTTCTGGTCCAAATGCTGCAGGCTAAACCTCGGCTTATGAGCTTATGAGCTCATATATATATATATATATATATATATATATATATGAGGAACAATTTATGAAGAATGCAGCTTTAAGAAAAATTACACTTCTCCCTAATACCGCTAAAAAAATCAACAACAAAGGAACTGAAGTTTGGGCTTTGTCAGGTGAATAATTGCTTCAGATTATACGCTTGGTTTAATTTGATTTGTTTTGTTTTACGGCTTATCATCCTCAATGGTTTATTTATTGCCTACAAGATTTTTAGCATAGGTTCGTATGAATAGAATATGTATTCTTTGGTTTAGTTTGGTTTCGTTTATTTTGCTTTACGGCATATCAAGCTCAATGGTTTATTTAAT